ATAACAAATGGACACCTCTCCTTGATATGTCACCCTTATAACAAATGGACACCTCTCCTTGCACTTCATCAAAACATTTGTAAGATAATTTTGAATAGACCGCAGTCATTGGAATTGTTATTATCAGTTGAAAAACATTTAAATCAAAACTTCATTTTTATGATAAAAATAATAATTTCTTTTAAAACATAAGACATCCTCACAAATCCGGTCAACAAGTCTGGTCAACAATCATCCGGTTTAAAACACTTGGACTAAATTCCACTTTGTCCGGATATCAAGTCCGGTCAACACATCACATATTCATTGAACGGTTAATCACTTGGAATATAATTCATATTGAACGGATAACAAATCCGGACAACAAACCGTTCAAGACTCGTCCGGTTTATGACTAAACCACTCACCACTCAACCGGTTTACCAACTCCGGTCAACAAACCGCTCAAGGTTTGTCCGGTTTAAACTAGTCCGGTCACTAAACCGTTTAAAGCTTGTCCGATTTAAAACAGTCCGGACAATAAACCTTTCAAGACTTGTCCGGTTTAAATTCTAATCCGGTCACTCTTTGTCCGGATAACACTTAGATGAAATAAACATGCTTTCTTTTCAAATAAGAACAATACAAAGCATGTAATCGAAACCAGTAAATCTTAATACAAAAAGATTTAGAAATCACTCACCTTATTAAGCTTTTGAATCCAAAACGTTAGAAATCAATCCTTTTGAAACTTGATACTTGAAATCACTTCCTTTTAGCAAATCGGACAACTCTTCTTTAAACCTCTCAATTTTCTCAAAATAACAGGAAAGGTAAATGAGGAGGTGAAGCCCTTTTTATACCTTCCAAATATGGAAGGTCGGCTTAAATCGCCTTCCTTTTTCCCCCTCCACCTCATGCATGAACATGCATACACATACATACATCCATGCATATAATAATCATATATATATATATCCAACTAATTCACAAATTCTCATACTGGCATGTATCAATTATCATGCTATCACGTAATTTATTAAATCAGATAATCACGTATTTAATACCTTAGGTAATAACCAGGATCTGGTTATCACAGTCTTGGTAATAGATTTTTATTTTTATTTTAGATTCGTTTCAATCAAAATTATGTTCATTACGATATGTTTTTTATAATTCATCTTGTATTATGAATTACTGATTATATTTATTTTTAATTAAAAATAAATATATTATGTATATAATTTTTTAAATTAAAAAAATATAATTTTTTTTAAATACCGGCGG